ATGTAATGATTCGATTTATAGTGCAGTAAAAACAGGTGGAATCTCTTTCGAGAAAAGGCAATATTCTATTTTATTGTCGAATGTAAAATTATGTAACTATTTTGAAATAAAACTTTTAACATATCTTTATTTTTTATAATATTTGAATATTCCAAAATGTATGGATAGTAACTAATAATTATTAGTTTGATTCTTAAATAAATTATTTTCTCAAAAGACTAATTATACAAGGGGAAATCAAAAGAGTAAAGGGATTTAATTTGTTACAGATGCAGCCAAAAAAACTTTTTTTCAGACAGAATAAAATAACAGGGAGCTTGTGTCGAAAGATAATGTGTGTTTCAAGTTTCTATCATTAGAATGAAGGCCCCTTTTCTTAAATATCCCTTTACTTGTTGACTTCCCCTCGTATAGTAATATTCGTCATTAAAAATATGCTAACCATATATTCATCCTTTTTTAAGAAGTCAATAGAATTAAATATCGAAATTGTGAGAATATTGCCACTAAAAACAAAATAATTATGATTACGTGAAATTATAATTTTAGTTTCAATTCATTTTCAAATTTTATAATTCCAAAATTGTTTATAATTTAAGGTAGGATTAATAATTATTATTACATAATAATATGAGTATTATTTTAAAATTAGCGAAAGTAGCTATGATTTATTAAATATCAATGATTACAAAAAAACCAAGAATAATCACTTTTCTGTAGAAGAAAAAAGATGGGTGCTTATAAAATTAATAGAGTTATCAGAAATTTTACTATTATAAGAAATGTATAAAAGCCTATGTTACAATCTGCGATTACTTGATTTGAAGTTTGCGTATTATTTATTTATTATCATTTTACGTCAAATATAGCATAAATAATCAAGTCCCTATTAGTTATTTATGTAATACACAAAACGAAATGTTAGTAACATGTATGTTAAATAATTAATTTTATTAAAGAAAACGAATATAAAAAGTACTAAAATGTCATGAAAATCAACTCCGTCTTATAATAGAATTTTGTTATATTTTATAATTTTTGATATGGTTCAATTATCTCTATTTCCATCAACTTCTTATTATATATATATATATACCTTCTTTCAGAAATAAAATGACGAATTATTCATTTCTGGCCCGCTCCTTTTAAGGTGAATATCAATAGCTGTCAGTGAATTTTATTTGCAAAATTGATTATTGAAATGTGTAATTAGATCGATGTGGGAAGTTATATACTGCCAGCCAAAATTATATATTTAGTACTATTTCACATTAATAAATAGCTATTGAAAAGACATTGTTAAAGACTTATCGTCGATTTATTTAGTTTTATTTAGATTTAAGTGAAATTGTATAAGTATGGGTTATGTGTGATTGAATGTAAAATAACCATGGTTATTCGTTGTGCGTAATATTGCGAATTGTATGATATTATATTGTAATAGCGAAGGCAGCGAAAAGTTTATTTGTATCGAAGAGCGAAGTAAGAGCGAGCGAGATAGCATTTGTAAACTTCTTAGAAACGATGCCTAGCTGGCGATCTCCTTGCGTGCACAGGGGTGCTTCGGCAAACCTGGAGCTATTCAGGCCAACGACTAGGGGAGGTACTGTATGTATCACCCTGAGACTGGTAGTCCCACAGTAGGAGATGTCGAAAATCGCCGGTAATAAGGGAAAGTGGACGCTTGGCGGTTCTCCGGGACCTTTAGGCTGGTCTAGGAGGAAAGCCGCTATGGTAGATAAGGGTAGAATTCGAGGAAAATCGGAAAGTTCGAGGAAAGTCGGAAAAGCCCGAGCGTGTCGCGAACATTGCTCGAGCGAGGCCCGAATATTCATTATAAAGTCTGTTGAACAAGCTAGACGTATTTGGCTCGCTCTTACACGAAATATTGTATTCGCAAATTGACTATAATTTACTAGTTTTGTTCGTCAATTGCGGGTAATATTTTTACGTTCTATAAATCCTGTAACTGTCATCTGTAATTTTCATCTAAGAATTTGTACAGTTTGTATTCAAATTATTTATATAAAATTATTAACTAATCCCGATTTTGCTTTCGTTTATTCAATGTTAGTTTATCATTTAACAGACATATTTAATCAATAATAAACGTATACAATAAATCAATATAATTGTTGTCAAATATACAAAAATAAATCAATTTTGAAAGGACTAACAAGGGACATCACCAAGGTGTCACACGTGGATTTTAATGAAATTTACATATGTGGTAGTTTTTCAAAAATCATTTGACACGTATTTTTTTATATCTGCGGACATGCATGTTGAGGGGGTGAAAATAGCCCTCAAAGTTCGGGGTTGAAAACACATTTTCTTTAACATCTTGGAAACTAGAGGGTGTAGGAAGGTGAATTTTTTTCAAATTGTGTAGTTTTTAGTCAGGAATTTAGTTAGTGACAAAAAATTCGGGAGAAATTATTTATTTAAATAATATATTTAAAAATGCATTTTTTTTTCAATTTTTCACCCTAAATGCAGTTCGATTTTTTTGCAGCTTTGTATACTAAAAATATGGATCAAAATAGGGGATACGTGTTTTTGGAATTTTTTGTTTATTGCAATTTAGCAATAATTATTATATATACAATTTTCTCCTACTTTTTACGGAGAAATGATTTGAGATTTGTTTTCGAAGAGGGTGAGCCCTTTTTATACGATAATTTGTCACGTTTTTAACAATTAGACAATATCAAATGTTTATTGTTCCATCGGTAGCCACGGAAGATCCAGCGGGCAGGTATAAATCCATCGCGGTACCAATCATCGCTATACAGAACATAGATTTCTATCGGCAATGAAACTTTTAGCCGAACGTATAAGTTTATTTATTTGACTTTTAATAATTTGGACGGAAATGTTCCTCGTTTAAATGATTCGGTATCTCTGAAAAGAGCTGGAGATTTGAGCAGTGCGCTGTTGTTCTTTCTTGGTTTTTTATACGTTGCTAAAGTGGAAGTGGGAAATTTCAGAAATTTGTGTTGGTCGTCGTAATCCGAACAAGGGTAAGTAA